ATCTTACAAGGTTTCAGGCAGGTATATGCATAATATCTTACAAGGTTTAGCCCATGGTATATATCATATATTACAAGGTTCACAGGTATATCATATATCTGTACAAGGGTTTCAATGCAGGTATATATATATATCTTACAAGGTTTCAAGCAGGTATTATATCATATATCTTACAAGGTTTTCAGGCAGGCTATATATCATAATCTTACCAAGCGTTCTTCAGCAGCGTAGTATCATCATATATCTTACAAGGTTTCAGCAGGTTGTTTGCTTCCAGTTCCTCCGCGGCATGCTTCCCAATACTCAACCTCAATCGAAGCTGCTGCGTCTGCTGAGCGCGAGGGCGCGGTGTCCGGTCGTCCAGCCCGATTTAACGGCCGATCAAGTGGGGAAGCCTTCAAAATTTCGCTCAGTCACTGTCGACTTGACCTGTCCACCTCTCGCCGTCTAGATACAATCGGACAGCCTCGTTTGCCGTGCCAGGAAATCTTCCAACAAGTACCTGCACAACATCCACATAGTTACAACGCAGTGAAAACACACACAAATGCCAGATAGCGCTACCGGCAGCGTTCACAGTTACAACGTTATATCACACAGACAAATGCAAGCGTACGGAGTACACTGTCTACACTGATGTCTTATAGACGATAGAGATACTGAAATTCACGATTGCAAATTTTTTTTTTTTTAAATACATTATATAAATAGTAACCTATTGGCTATGATGAACGTAGCTAAATTTTAGTGGATACTATAGATATCTATATAACAATAATTTATAAATTCTAGATATTCATTAGTATCCACTAAAGTTTTAGCTACGTTTCATGATACGCACAGGTACTTGCATACTGACGAAGATAACGCAGCAATGATCCAACACGTACGCCAGTGAGATGTCAGTGATGTAATAAACACGCTCACTAAATCCAGCCACACACTACGAAGTGTACAGTCACTCAACACTGTCCCGGCCTCTATCTGCGTCCGTGAGACGGTCCACACGTTCTTGCCTTCGATCGAAGACGGCATTATAGCTTGTTGTTACGGTAGTAGACGTTGTAGGACGGCGAGGAGAAGTGAGTAAGACGTTGTCACGCAACGTGCCAAAGTTGATGTAGCTGGACAGACTGAAGCGTGCGGGCACGCGTTTCGAGGTTAACCGATGCCACGGACTCGGAGTGGTTGCCTAGGTTCAAGGTACTGTCTCGCGCCGACAACTGAAACACGGTATGACCGATTAGAGGCAATTGTAGAGACGCGTACGAGACTTTCGTGTGCTGTTGTTTTAAAAAAATTGGTTGTTAGTCGCACCAAGCTGTAGTGTGTTGGGGTTAGTTCAAGTTTAACCAGTGTTCTTAGGCGTGTTTTCAGTTTTGTTCGTTGTTGCCAAGTTTCAGGATACAATAATTGTATGACTGCTGTCATTCCTACTGAAGTAAATGTGAGTACTCTGAAAACAAGGGTCGTTGCTGAAGGCATTGGAAGGCTTGTACCAGCCATGTAAATGTATGTTGACTTATACAACACATACATATATATTATATATATAATATATGATGGATGTATTGGATGGATGGAATGAATGGGATGGGATTGGAGGATGATGGTGGATGGATGATGGATGAGATGGAGGATGCGATGGATGGATGGTATGGATGTGATGGATGGATGGATGGTCATGGATGGATGGATGGATGGATGGCATGGATGGAATGGATGGATGTGGTATGGATGGATGATGGATGGATGGATAGTAGCATAGATATATTAGGAGAAGCGTCTAACGATAATGACAATCCTACACAGGCCTAAAGCTTGCAACAACAATTTATACCTTCAGCCGCATAGTTTTTTCTTGCCCGTGGACGAGGCGTGGCGTCTCCCGTGACACTGCATAGTGAGGTTGGGTGACGGCATCGTGCTTTCCCTCAGCACGTCCATGGTAAGGTGCCCGCAGTGCCTGGCTCGTACGTAGCCCTATAGGAATCATCCCACGATCAAACGTCATCGTTAATCGCCAGCAAAGGCCCAGCCTACATAAGTCTAAGCCAACAAGCTACAATGCTTCTGATTTGTAACGTATATAAAGGGAGAAGGGGCACTAAAACTCCGAGTCGATTATAATAACTGCAGAGTATGTAAGTACTGAGTAATTGTGGGTACTTATGTTATGTATACTTGGCACCTCATCGTGTCTGGCTTCAACAAGTCGAGTTCTTGCAGAGCTGGCGAGGATGAGCAATTCAGATGGTTGAGACAAAGCACTTCATGGTATCAAGGCTAAATTATTCTCAGAACGTGATCTGTTGCACCCTACCTCTGGCAGGATGAGACCAGTGGATGTGGAATACCACGGCGCATTTCCACAGCTGGTACTCATCAAGGTGACCCTTGCCGTACGCACGGAACGTCTCCGTGAGAGTTTGCCTCGACCTTAACAAAACGCAGCAGACATATTTGACCTCTTCAATCATTTGCACTCATACATCGGCAGAGCAAACGCAATGGTAACGATAACTTACGCATTATCTATTAAAATGACATAAATTGATACTGAACTATGACAAGAATTAGAACACTAATCAATTTTAAGTAATATTTTCGACTAACACAAGAGCAAATTTATAAGCACAAGGTATAAATATTATTTTTCTTAGGCGTGAATAGAAAACTTGCTCAGGATACCTGAATACCAGAAGACTGAAATAGTTTCCAGTGTCACAAAATGTACTTTATTGACTAACATGAGCAAGTATCCTCACTCGTCCTCGGTTATTCATCAATGTACAGCACGCTCACCAGTGGTTGGGTCTTATGCTGCCGGGAGAGCCAGCGATCTTCCAGTGCTTGTTCTGCGTCATGGCCTCAGCGTGAAGTCGTCCTCCTGCGTAGTATACCTACAGACACACCACACACGTGCTTACATCATACACACAGATGTTGTGTGCTAGTACACACACATGTAACCTGTAGTGTAACTTGTATTGTAACTTGCTAGTACACTCTCATATAACACGTAGTGTAACTTGAGGTGTAACTTGTAGTGTAACTTGGTAGTGCATAATCATATAATTTGTAATGTCACTTGTAGTGTAACTTGTAGTATAATTTGTAGTGTAACTTGTAGTGTAACTTCATAGTACACACTCATATAACATGTAGTGTAACTTTTAATGTAACTTGCTAATATACACTCATATAACACGTAGTGTAACTTGCTAGTACACACTCTTATAACACGTAGTGTAACTTGCTAGTATACACCCATATAACTTGTAGTGTAACTTGCTAGTACACACTCACATAACTCTACAGCTGACGCTACGTGGATATGACACGTACCTGGATGGTGGGACAGGAATAGACGAAGCTGTTCTCTCTCAGCTGATCAAAGTTGACGTAGAAGGAGACGGTGAAACCCTCAGGAGCATCGTCTAGATTTCCTATCCAGTAATTGTCCCTGAAAGATGATGCATGACTTATGTGACCACAATCAAACCAGTGCTAGCAGTGACCTCTACAGAACGGTCATCTGTCAGTAAAGGGCACTTTAAGGTATTCCCCTGATTGGCTGTTATACAGTAAACCACCTCTATAGAACAGATATAGGGTCGTTTAGTAAATTCCTTAGAGTGACCTTTATGCATCATTGAGTGTATGTGACTACCACAGGTTTAAGATTATATTTATCACGACTTAGTATTTATTATCATCACAGATCAGAATCTTGCTTTGACTTCATATATGATGCTTTCATGATAACAGTTTAATTTAATTTCATATTTTTGGTACTTGTTTGAAATAAAACAATATTCTTGTCTCTGATAGTACATTTTGTTTTCAATAAATAATAAACAACCTGAAAATCTGCTGACAATACCCATCATTCCACACCACACTCTTGTTCTCTTCTAGAAAAAATTACTAATACATTCATAGTGTTATCACTCACACCAAGAACAATCACAAAATCTAATACATTTACATGAAAATCATGAACATAATGTATATTCATGTATAAACATCAGCATACATATATATTCATGTAAAAACGTATATAGAAAATACATACTTCAGTGCCGTTTCAAAATGGTCACAGCATGGAAGTTCAGATAGCTCATATTACACCAACTACGAATTCTAATGATCTCTACAACTACCAAAACAACTGTTTATGCATATGTGCATGTGTGCGTGTGTGCATGCATGCGTGCTTGCGTGCGTGCGTATGTACGTCCGCCCGTCAGTGAGTGTGCGTGCATGCGTGCGTGCGTGATGAGTGTGTGAAGTGTGAACACACACATTAAAACCGAGTAATGACAGCAGCATTAAACTAAGGATGGCCTGGCTTTTTCTCACGATTAATTTACTCTGAGGCGTGAGAGATGATGGGAGGCCATGTATTATATTATATTATTTATATTATATCTATCTTATATATTTATCTTATATATTAGAATATATATCTTATATTATAAATAAAGCTGTAATTAGTGATTCGTTTACGTGATCAGGGGACCATCGAAGATTTCCACTCCTCAGCGATACAACCCGTTATCGCATGAGTGTGTTAGCGTTTGTCAAACTATATTAATCACAGCGTCAACTTTATGGGCCATGATTTGACACAGCTCTGTGAATATGTAATTTGATATTCGCAGTAATAATTGCTCTAGCGAGCATACGTATACTGTGCACGTGTTCACGAATTATATTGTACGAGTTACATTATTCACGGATTCGTCCTACCATGGCTAAATCTATTGATGTATAGATATGTCATGGTAGTAATGCTTATTTACTTACTACACACTAAAACCCTCTTAAGCCGCTTGTTCCACCCACCGTATAGCACGAAGCGAGCTGATTATTTGAAAAGACAATGCGATCGTGATTACCGTTTCTCACTTTGCTTCTCTTGTCCAATAAGAACGTGGACCTGGCAGTTGAGTGATGATAATTATCCAAGACCAGTGATGGGCCAGCATGCATGCAGCAAAAAACATTAACGATGAGAAAGCTACCGGGGGTCGTAAGCGAACAGCAGGGGAGAACCATTGCCAAGCGTCCTTCCTACCTCGTTGTGTTGTCTAAAGAAACCCGCGAATCTCACGTGATTAATGAAACGTAGCCGTGGCACACGCGTACCCTATACCTGCGATATTGCGTGGGGTGGAAGTGATGTTATTGCGAATGCCCATCAACGTGACTCTACATTGCACAGATGCTCTGATAATCCCTCTAGCTTATTACAGTATATTACATCTATAGTATCTTTAGTACTCTTCAACATCGGCTCAGTGCGTGATTACTGCATCGGTGCACTATAGTGGATTACTACTCGACCAATATTAGCAGTCAGCGCCTTTATCCGATCAGACTCAACATGGACAAACGTTGTGTTTCACCGATACTGTTGACGCGAAACGCTTTTCGGCTCTCGCAAAGTTAACGCGAACGCAAGACAGTTCTAGGGTCCTAGTGCATTTAAGCCTCACTCGTCATGCACCTGGCTACTGCCTTAGCTGCCTTACAGCGCTACAGCCCCACCTGTGCATGCGACAACTGGTCGTTGACCGTTGCGGCTGATGCCATTGCGACCTTGACGGGCGCGGTGGTGGACCCCCTTCTGGTATGATAACGAAAGCACGTGCGGCATCAGGTCCGTTTTCGATTATTCCATAGAAGGTCGTTGCGTGACGTGATGTCATCCGGGAATGTCTGAAACGCAGATGCAAGGGTCGAATTTTTATCTTAGGGCCATACAAAAGTGTTCAAGTTAAAGTTTAACTAGCTGTATTAGGGACACATTCCTGCCTGCATACATTTAGCGATGGTCAGTAGGCATTACTTACATATGTTAAGTGACTTACATATCTTCCAAACAATGTCACCGAGGGCCTATGTTGCGTGTATATCCTATATCTTACAGTTTTCGCGGCTTATATCATCTATCTTACAAGGCCTTCAGCAGTATTAATATATCTTACAGTCTTCACCGGTATCATCATATATCTTACAGGTAGTCAGCGGTATATCGATACTATCTTACAAGTCTTTCAGCGGTATATATATATCTTACACGTTTCGCGTGTATATCACTATGATCTTGAAGGTTTCGCAGGTATATTCATTATCTTACACGTTCCAGCAGGGATATTATATCTTACATTGTTCGCAGGTTATCATATTATCTTACAATGGTTTCGCGGTATCTCATATATCTTACAATGGTGTTCAGCGGTATCATTATCTCTTCATGGTTTCAGCAGGCTATATCATATTCTTAAATGGTTCGCAGTTATTCATATTCTTAAGGTTTCGCAGGCTATTCCATATATCTTACAAGTTCAGCATGCGTTATATATATCTTACAAGGTTTCAGAGTATTATCATTATTTACAGTGTTTCGCAGGTATATCTATATCTTACAGGTTTTTCAGCAGGTATATATATAAGTTCAAGGTTTCGCAGGTATATATAGTATTTCTTCATGGTTTCGAGCGTTGTTTGCTTCCAGTTTCCTCGCGCGTGTTCCCAGTACTCACATTCATCGAGCTGTGCGCGTCTGTGAGCGGGAGGCGCGGTGTCGGTCGTCAGCCGATGCTAGACGGCCGAGTCAGTGGGCTCAATTTCGCTCGTCACGGTCGCGACCTGTCCACCCTCTCGCCGTCTAGATACATGGACAGCCTCGTTGCGCGCGTGCCGAAATCTCAACAAGCTACCTGCACAAAATCCACAGTTACCGCGTAAACACACACAATG